TTGCATCACGCGTCTCTACAAAATGATCAAGGCGTGCAGCAAGTGTTGACACAGACGAGTGCGTGTAGATCATCTGTTGCATGGTTCTCATAGGGGGGCGATCAAACCAAAGCCCCGTGGACGTGTCATGCTGGATCTGTGAGATGAGCTCCAGGCCGAGGCTGTGACGGTCCCTCGGTCCTGTGTGTGTGTGTGTGTGTGTGTGTGTGTGTGTGTGTGTGTGTGTGGGGAACCAGGTCACCGCCGAATGCCACATATGAATGGAGGACTCATGTTTGTGAACAACTTTGCACATCATTGAGGACAAGGAGCCCACGTTGGTGCTGCGTGGATAAGGCTATTCTCAAAGTCTGAATGAGAGAGTGGGTGGCGTTGAATAGTCTGAGCTCTTCAGTGGGCTGTCTGTGGTCGAAGAATACCTCTCTCTCTCTCTCTCTCTCTCTCTCTCTCTCTCTCTCACTTCGCTCAGCTGTCTGCCATCGCATTCACTCGGCCTGGCAGGAAATAATTGCTTGTCCTCCACACAGCACTTCAAATAAAAGAGCTGTGTTAATGAGGGCTTTCCTGCGCCTCCCTCCCTCTCTCTCTCTCTCTTTCTTTCTCTCTTTCCCTTTCTCTCTGTGTCTATATATCACACTCGCCATCGCTCGCTCACTCTCTTCATTACTCTCTGTCTGAAGTGCTCGGACTTGCTGTTTTTTTTGGGTTTCTCTGGAAGGAGTTTCCTCTGCAGCCACAGTTTGTTTGTTTTTGCCCTTGGCTCGCTGTGTCTGCTGCTGCCGGCCAACGGGGAGCACCAGCTGAGCAGAGGTGTGTCCGTCTCTGGGCTGGTTCTGGCTGAGCGGAGCGGTCTAACTACAGGTGTCAGTCTGACTGAATTAGGAGCTTTTACGCGTGATGATAGTTATTTCAAGGTGTCCCGTGGAGGGAGTCCCCCCCCCCCCCCCCCCCCCCCTACTCCTCCCTCCCCCAGACGGTGGAATTTAGGGCCAAGCATGGGAGGAGCTGTCAATCATGGCCTATTGTTGTGCGAGGGGGAGGGGGGGTAATAAGCTGTAAGCCCTCACAGTGGGAAATGATTCGACAGCAGGCTTTGCACACTTGACACTCTCGCTCACACGCTGAATCCCCAGGAATATATTGGCAGCAGTGGGAGGTTGGAGCGATCTCTGCAATTTGGCCCCTGGAGTTCACTGCTGGTCCTGCTCCCAGGATCCTTTCCAGGGTCTCTTGTGAAACATAAATGTTTCGCATTTGATTTGGATGTTTGCGAAATAATATGGTTCAGCTGTGGAGTAAATTACTGCAGTTGTTGTCGTCAAATTAGTGCAGTCTATGCTCGACGGATTATAATTAAACGTCATAATTATTTTTGAATATGGAGTTTTTTTTCCAGCTGTTCAGGGCCACACACACACACACACACACACACACACCTGGTGTCAAGTAGAATCTGCAGCCATGTTAATGAGCTGCGGAGCGTGGCGATGTGTGGTCGGTAAATAAATAATGGAGCAAAGAGAGCGGCGGCTCTATCATGCCAGCAGCAGCTCATGGCTGACTTACAGCTGGCACTGAATCACTGCTTAACTAACGGGGCTGCTTCTGCCGCCGTTGCCGCCGCTGCTGCCGCTGACACAAATCTCGGACTCTGACCGGGGCTTCATCTCCGCAACAGGCAAAAGAGGCGTGGAGCTTATCGATCAATCAATCACCCCTTCACCGCCTCCTTGGCTAACAGCTCTCACTGCCAAATAAAATGATTTCTCATCCTGCTGTTTGCGTTCACAATCTGTTTACTCACAGACGAGGCTTAGAGAGACATCTGTGAGCACATTTTGTTATTGTAGATTTGCGCACTAGAATGCTTCCCCAAAACCTGAATTCTTTGTCACACTTTCTCAGTGGTTTATTGGTTTATTTCCCACCACATGTTGACCCCAGATCACTAATCCAGAGGTACTTGAAGGACCCACGAGGTTCCCAATGGGGTGAGGTGTATTGTGTATAGAGAAATCCAACGCTCAGAAGTGTATTTGTAATTGAAAATTGGCGAGGTGGTCCAATGCCGTAAACTCCTAATTATCACTTCCTAATTAACTGGTTATCAACTTAATCACCTAAGCATTCAAAGTCGTCATTACTTATTTAGTACTATGAATAGGAGCTCCAGCACTCAACATGGGAAGGTTTTCTCTGGATTCTTCTGAGACAAGAGGCGGCAAAAGCTGGAAAAAGTTAGTGCACCTTTTTAGAGTGGCTGCTTTATAAATGAACATGATGTGAGGGATTGTGTGTTTTCTACAGAATACACAAAACATTAACACACAACATGAATTAACTTCATTTTTACTGATTAGGCTATTGCTCAATAGTTCAGCAACTTGTGTAATCACTCACCCTTCTCTGGTTCGAGTCTTGGAATGTTAGAATAGCCTATTATAGTCCGTCACCTCTCTTTCCTTCTCTGTCCTAAGCCTTTCATTAAAGAACGCCCTTATCGTCTTCTTTTTTTTTTTTAAAGTTAGCGCTTTATTTTTAGTGACAAACAGCTGTGTTTATTTCAAGGGCTGGATTGCTGTATCTGAAGAAATGAGTGTGAAACATAAAGCCACGTTGGTTTAACAGATGAAACTGGAATTTCTGCATTCCAAAATGATCTGTAGTATCGTGACGAACACACATTTGTTTGCCTCGCAAATTACGGCACTTAATTGTTAAACAAAATGTGTCACTCCGCCCGTTGCCTCCACACTTGAGTGCCAAGCATTACATGCGTGCACGTGGTGTAAGCACATCAAAGCGGTTGCCGACAAAATGCACAATAGTTTTGACGTAAAAAAAAAGAAACTTGTCCGAGTTTTCAACCAAGGTGGCAGCCAATAATACAAAGGCCTTTGGGTTAGATAGGCGGGGAAAAACCCTGGAAGTAATTGCTCCCGTATCACACTCTGGGGAGGACCCCAGAGGGTGCCTAACAACATGCCAGCAGGTAGAAAGAGCCCCGGGCTTCAGAGAACCGAGGCACCTCATGGATACTGGATCAGCGGCCCCGGGGCCTCCTCGGCACTCATCACAGCTGGCGTATTGATGGAGTGCAGCGCGAGCATAATGACACGGTGCTCTATTATGCCCCGATTGATCGGCTGCACGCCCTCCTCAAGGAAAAGCGCTCTCTGTGTGTAGCAGGCCGCTGCAGGAGGAGACTTAATGAGCTTGATGGAGCAGTAGATGGAAAAAAAAATAAAGTTGCAAAAGAATTGGATTGTCCGATTTGGCTACCAAGACACTGAAACTGAGTGTAGTGTCGGTGGTGAAAGACGAGAGCAACTGAACTGGCAATATATGATGTTGCCAAATTGAACCACTGAGGCTAACCACTTAAGCAGCTGTCTGAAAACCACTCTCCACATCAAGCCACTGAAATCAGAGGCCGTCAGCGCCTGACACATTATTGAGCTTCTTGTGTTTTTGCCACATGCGTTGGCTGTTTCACTAAAAGCAAAGCCAAGAACATTTGTTTTCCCTGCGAGAGCTTGTGTTTTTTTTGTCAGCGGTAGCTGTTGTTTATCTGGTCTGATGCTGACAAGAGTTTCTACAGATTCCCTGTTAGACCGCGGGTCTCCCAAAGCAGCCCCGAGGATCAAGGGACCCCGTGTCTCCTCTGCAGGGATAGAACAAAAACTCCTGCCAGGACTAGAATTTGGAAGGGTCGGGTATACACGGCTAGCTAGCACAACTTGTCGTGTTCCACGTTGAAAAGGCCTCCTGAGCGGCCGGCGAGCCGCGCCAGGCTGTTCTGTTTGCACGCTAAGCTTTTCAACTGCGTGTTTGTGTGTGTGTGCGAGCGCATACTTGTGGTTTACTCCTCACCATGCTTGCCCAGTCCTGGCCTGTGATTGTCCATGCTGCTGGCTGCAGTTTGGTCTCAGCCAAGTCGAAGTCTCATTCCCCCCCACCAGGTCTTCTGCTTCCCCCTCCCCCCCAGATGCTGCCAGCTGGTGTCCATTATGCTGCAGGTGTGCGTGTTGGCTCAGGCAGTCTGAGTTGGGCTTAGCGCTTTGCCTCACACATTGTAGGCCCTGCTCGTCTGCACAGTTGTTGGAGAAAGATGCTGCTGCATGCATGTTTGTAACAGCAGTGTTTTTCGGAAAAACGACGGTTTCAAGTGTAGCGCCACTTTCGAGGAATCCGAAGGAATGTTTGAGTAGAAGACTAAAAGCGGTCAGTCGTGCTGTGGCTGCTGGTGAGCTTAGTGAGCGGAGCAGCTCCACCGTGTCGAACTGAATCTCAGTCTGTGACAAATGGGGCCAACCCTGCGGTAATCAGATTAGAGGACCTAAGTGACGTGCTGCAAATGTCCCACCTTGTGATCCTGTGCATTCATTTTATTACAGCCGCGAGCTAATGAGATTAGCCCTCAAAAACAGAGCTGCTCCAACCCACCTCTGCAGCAGCCCGTGTCCCTTAGGTTCAGTCGCCTCTCTCTGTCAGCCAGAGTGTGGCTGCGTTGGTGCGTAGCCAGCGAGTCGGCTACGAGGCTAATCCATCTTTGTGCCTTTGGATCCCCTCCACAGGAAACCCAGGATCAACTCCCAGCTGGTCGCCCAGCAGGTGGCTCAGCAGTACCCGATGCCTCCGCCGCCCAAGAAGGAGCGGCGGGAGAGGAGCGAGCGCACGGACAAGGAGCGCCCGGACGGCGAGGGCGAGCGCGCCAACGGAGAGGGACGCCCGGAGGTCGAGCGTCCGGAGGTCGAGCGTCCGGAGCTCGAGCGCCCGGAGCTGGTGAGGCCAGAGGGAGACCCTGCTGAGAAGGAGAAGAGCGACACCGAACAACAGCCAATCACAGACAAGCCCAACAGAGAGAAGGACATCGTCCCAGCCGTCACGAAGAAGCCCAGCATCAAAAAGACCAGGTCAGTGTACACGTCGAGTCCTCACTTGTGTGTCTGGATGTCCTCTGTGCTGGTATTATCCTCACCGCTGTCTTATCTGTCTCCCTCCCCCCAGACCCAAATCAGACAACCACCAGAGCCCGCCCAGCGACAAACACAGCATACAGTCTGGCAAATCAGCAACCAAGACCAACAAGAACTCTCACATCTCCAGGTGTGTAGCACTCTCTCTGTACTCCATTTGTCAGAACACATGGTTTCACATCGATGACTACACGGCACTTCTCTTTTCAGTCACGCAGCACTCGGCTGGTGGGAAAACCTCAAATGATTCACAAATGATCTTTTACACTAAACACCCACACTCACTTTATACACACTCGTTCTGACGGTTCATGTGTCACCCGGCGAATCGAGCAATTTAGTGTAACCGCCCCCGCGGCGCTGGCAGCCTCCCCCTCGCTGTTGCCGAGACATCACACATCGCGGTTTGCCATTTTCTGTTTCGTTAACGTCTATATCTGTTGCCCCCTCAGGCCCAAGCTGAAGAACATCGACCGGAGCACCGCCCAGCAGCTGGCGATCACCGTAGGGAACGTGACGGTGATCATAACAGACTTTAAGGAGAAGACCCGCTCCTCCTCCACGTCCTCATCCACCATCACGTCCAGCGCGGGCTCCGAACAGCAGCACCAGAGCTCCGGCTCCGAGAGCATGGACAAGGGCTCGTCGCGGGCATCCACGCCCAAAGGGGATCTCTCTGTGGGGCATGACGAGTCGTTCTAAGGTCCCGTCCCCCTTTTTTTCCCCTCCCGTCCTCGACCCACCGCTCCACCGCCTCCCCCCCCAACACACACACACACACACACACACACACACACGCGTACGTACGTTTCTGGACACTATGGATCCAGTATGGGGAGAGATGTCTCCTTTCCCATCGGTGCCCCGCCTCCATTCCATGAACGAGGAGCCGGATGTCTGAGAGCAACAGCAGTGGGCCTGCCGGGGCGAAACTCCCCCTCGTGGTTACAACCCGTGGTGCAGGCGAGGAGAGGAATAACGCCCCCA